AGATTCAAACCCGTTAACAAGTTCCACAAACTAGGAACTTGTTCCCAACTCTCACAGAAGCCTTCAGCAACGAAGCTTCCTTGACCTCACTTTACAAACTCACAATCCCAACCCCTAAGTACTTGAATACAATATGTGATTACAAATACCTATTGCACTCAAGAATATAAGAAGGATAATAACTCTCTTTATGTTATTAGATGGCTACTGGAATTTTTATGCTTAAGAGTTATATCTTTCTGAGATAGTTTGCATGAGTATTTATAGAGAAGGCTTAGTCATTAACCTCCACTATAATCACGTCCACATGCCAACAACCCACTAACAACTTGTGGAGTTATCTTGACAGATGGTAATCATGAAGAGGTTTCCTAGCCTTATCTAATTAGTCCACTATCTTAAACAACTTGATAATCATTAGCCGTATAAAGATTTTCACACAGAAAAACCGCTTGCTATCCTTATCAAATATTTGTTTAAAAAGATTATCAAAAGTTTGTTTAAAAAGATTTTATTTGAAAAGATAAATTTATTATTTATTAAAACAACTAGATAATTATCTTCGATAATTATCTTTATTAAAACTTTTACAAATTATCTTTTCTTTAAGAAATTATCTTTTAAAACTAACTTTTATTCCAGTAGTCTTTTTAACATAAGTCATTGAGTTCCTTTCCGACTTTATAATATTGAGTGCTCACAATTAAAACTAGAACGTGAGATTTGCACGAGGCTTTTTAGAGAATGCTACTCCGCATCCAAGTTCCTACTCCGGAACGAACTTTGCTTGAATCCTTTATTCACCAAAGACTCAAAACATTCATTAGTCGAGTTTGTCAATTTGTCCATCAAAACCAAAAGGCTCAACACTGCCTCCTTTCCCAACCAATCAAGTTAAGTATGAATCGCACAACATGTCCAAAGAGCATGATTCCTATCAACCATAACCAAGCTTGGATATAAAACTCCAATGAATTCCAAACTCCTTCGTTTCCATCATAGGTAAGAATATCCACAGCAAAGTAATAGGTAAATGTTGTTGCCGTCACAGAAATCCACAACGTTATCCTCAAAATAAACAAGAAATGTCGCTTACATGTAAACCCGCTTATAAGGAGAAGAATCACACTTAGTGATGACATTAGTCCTATTGCGTTGCTGGTCTTGCCTTGGCACGCTTAAGATATTGCCTAACATTCCAATTTTTTGATTTCTTTTGATTTTGCTCTGTCACAATATCAACGGCAGTCATTTTGTTTTTGTTTATAACATTTTTGTTTAGCCCTGGGCACCTTGTTGCTAAAAATTCGACCTTCTGCAAGTCAATCAAGTGAATATGTACAAAGTGTTAAAGAACTAACTCAACCAAAAATTTAAGCGAATGATTAAAGCCCACAATTGATTATATACTCTATCACATTCCTTCACATAATAAATTTCTGCATTCGACTCACTTGATAAAATTATGTGCCAATGCAATATTTTGGAGGGAGTATCATCTATAAACCAGACTTGACTTGACTTGACCAAAGATTGAAAAATCATACTTCCTCCTACCTAATTAATTTACATAGTTTGGCTTTTTGCATTACTGTATTCATTTAGGTTATTTTAGATTTTAACACCTGCTAAAAACCCGAAAATGGTTTTTAACACCTCCAAAAAAAAAATTGATTTTAAAACCACCCAAATTTCAATAAAATTGGGTATTACCACCACGTAACTGATTCCGTTTACAAATCCGTTAAGTAGGGCCATATAGACACGTGTCGCTTTGTTATTGGCCAAAAAATAAAAAAATAATAAAAAAATTAAAAACAAAAAATAAAAAATAAAAATTTTTAAAAAAAATATAAAAAAAAAATAATAAAAACCTAAAACTACCCAAGCCACCCCAGCCCCACACACCGCGCCACCGAAAATGGGGAAAGGGAAGGGGTGGGGTGCGTAGGTGGAGGAAAGGGTGGTGGGGTGGGGTCACCGGCGTCGGGCGGTTCACTGGGACGCCGGAAGGGGGTGGGTTTGGGGACGCCGATGGTGGCGCAGTGGGTGGGCCTGGGATAGTTTTAGGTTTTTAATTTTTTTTTAAAATTTTTTTTAATTTTTTTTAAACAAATAAAATAGTGACACGTGTCACTGTGGACCATATTTAATGGAATTTTTTAACGGAAACCGTTAAGTGGTGGTAATACCGATTTTTTGAAAATTTGTATGGTGTTAATACTCATTTTTTTTTTGGAGGTGTTAAAAACCATTTTCGTGTTTTTAGCAGGTGTTAAAATCTAATAAAACCATTCATTTATCAACTTAAATTGTACATAATTTATCCTAAATAGAAAACTCAAATGTTAATATGTAATTAAAATGTTGATACATTAGTATTAATACATATTTTCTTAATAACAACTTTTTATGTATTTATTTGTTAATCGTCAAACTTAAAGTTGGAATGTGCGTGTATTTGGTCAAATTATGCCAGTTAATTCACACGAAAAAGTTTGAACTTTGATCCTATTCACTTCACCTTAAAATATAGGAAATTTTAACATTTACTACCACTAAAAACACCATGTTTCACATTTGCTACCTGCTAATTTATTTATTTATTTATATTTTTTTTACTTTACTACCACCTAAAACAGAGTTTGTAAGAAATCACTACCACATGCCTTATTCTGTAACTATTTCCGTTAGTGGGGTCGACTCCACCGTTCAGCCACCCCTCCAGCCACCTTTGAGCCATCGAAATTGACCCTTCTCCCCTTTTCCCCCACCGAAATTGGCCCCCCTCCCCGTTCCTGTAATACCCCGTATTTTTAAGCTACTTAATTATTATTAAACTATGGATTTTTTCGAAATATTCTATTACACAAAAATATTTATATGATAAACAAAAACTAAGTTAGTGTATTATTGATAAAAGTATTAAACCTTGGGTGTACCGCTGATAAACAAAAACTAAGTTGGTGTATCATTATTAAAAGCCCGAACCTTGGGTGTACCATTGATAATTTCCCTAAATTCTTTTTTTTTTTAATCATAGTGGAAAGAGATAATAAAGTAAGCTAGGGTAGGGTCCCCAAAATGACATGCCACAATGGATTGGATTCGAATCGTATCGATGAAATTTTACATGCATCCACCATCCAATCTGCTTCACCTGTATCTACTTGTCACCACATATCATACGCATATATCCATCCATTTATCATTTGAAAGGGTGAAATGGGTGCATCAGGTAATTAATGGGTGGGAAATACGGAGTATAAATTAACGTGAAAAAAAATCACAGTTATTTACACGATGTAAATTTTATGAGCAAAGTGGGCTACAACACCTCAAAATATGGCTTAGGTGTACTAAGCACTTGAACTTTGTGTAGCCAAAACATCACCAAATATAGTGTTTTTAGGTGCGTTGTCTGCCTTAAATAAAAATTTTAAATTTCCAACCACTTATTTCACCAACTAATTTTCAATATATGTATGTTTACCAAAGTATTTCTACTCTAGATAAAATGTGATCACATTGACTGAATAGATTATTTTTTTTTTAAAAAAAGAAAAACTTATGAGAAAATAAGATAAATGGCTTTTCGATCATAATACTTAAGGGGCCATTTGGTTGGGGGTATTCAACAAAGGGAATGGGAATCAACTACCATGAATCCCTTTGTTGATGTTTGATAGACAAAATCAATCATTCCCTTTACCCCTCCCATTACCCTATTTTCCTCTATCTTCATTCCCCACCCCCCCAAGGGAATCACCCAAACCCCCAAATTCTTCTTCAGCAACTACGTTGACTAAATTTCTAACTACCTTGACCACCATTGAAAACACCAACTGACCACCCACACCACCGCCCAGCCACCACAAACATTGGCCAGACATCAACACCACCTCCCAACCGCCACCAGAATCACCGCCTGGCCACCGGAAACATCGCCCAAACACTCACCACCGCACAACCACCATCCTTCACCACCGAAACCACCCAAAGCCACCAAGGAAAAAACCCACCCACACCCAAAACCACCCTTGCCTACCGAAACCACCCAAAACCCTCCCGGAAAAATGCTCACCCTCCTCGAAACCACCCAAACCCACCCGAAAATAACCTTACACCCACCACGTTAGCCGCTATTACCCTAAAAAACCACCATGAAAACCACCAAAAAAAACCCTAACCATCTCAATAAACAACCCAAACCACCCCATAAACAACCAAAACCACCCCATAAACAACCTCAAACACCCAAATAAACAACCCTTAACACCCTAAAAACTAACAAACTACCAGATCTACGAAATAAAAAATATAAAAAAAAATTAGAGAGAAGAAGGATGGCATGGGTACGGCGGCGGGAGGTGGGTGTAGGAGTCGGACGATGGGTGTCGGAGTCGGCGGCGGGAGGTGGCAGTGTTGGAGGCTTGAGGACTAACAATTGCAATGGTGGTAGTGGAGAACAGTGGTGGTGGTGGATGGTGCTTCATATTTGATTCCATTCTTTTTTAATAAAACAAACAACACATTATAAATGGGGGAGTTGCTTTCCTTTCTCTCTCATTCCCTTTCCTAATGTGTTTCCCTTTCCCCTCTACTAACCAAATAGCCCCTAAATGAGTTGAGCAGATAATGGTTCAAGCCGAGCTCGTTTATTAAATGAGCTTCAAATTTTTGTTCAGCCTTGTTTGCCTACTAACGAACGAGATTTAACCAAACTTGTTCATGAGCTTGTCAACACGAGTGCATCGGCTCATCACGAACATCAAATCCCAAAGATAATTGTTACAAAATTTGATGAACAAGTATACCACAATCAAGGAAACATTAAACAGTACAAGAGGACAGCCGCCCCATTGCACATACATTAGTAAGAAAAACACAAATTACAACTGAAAGTTTAGCAAGAAACTAAGTATCAACAAACTAAATAACCATTATACAAGGTTGCGCAAATTTGTGTTATCAGTAATATTGGTGTTTGTCATCCTTGCAAAACACCTCTTACAAAAAATTTAAAGAGCCTGCCTCCTTTGCCAACCAACCAACTTTAGTATGAATCGCACAAAATGTCCGAGGAGCATGGATCCCATCAACCCTTGCCAAGCTATGAGATAAAACGACAACGATGTCCAAACTCCTTGGTTTCCCTCATAAATGAGAGCATAAACCGCGAGGTAGTAAGTAAATGATGTTGCAGTCACAGCGATCCACAAAGTTGTCCTCAAAATCACCAAGAAATATCGCTTACATGGAAAACCGCTTATAAGGAGAAGAATGACACTTAGAGATGATATTAGTCCTATTGTGTTACTGATTAGTAAATTGTTATATTCTTTACTATTATAATATGACATTATAGAAGTACCTGCAATGTGGTAAAAATTATCTCCTGTCTCTTTTTTTATTACTGTTTTTGAATCTTGCCAAACGTCTCCGGGAGGATTAACTCCAACTTGAAAGGCCATGGTTGCTGTTAAAGATGCCACCACCATATACGACGTTCGTTGCTCCTCTAACCAAGTACCATCCGCTAGGCGCTTTAGTACCTCTTTTGCTGGTCTTGCCTTGGCACGCTTCAAGTATTGCTCAACATTCCAATTTTTAATATTATTCCGATTTTGCTCTCTATATATGTCTACAACGGTCATCTTGTTTGTGTTCATAGCATTTTTGTTTAATCCTTGGCATTGCGCTAAAAATTCTACCATCTGCATGCATGTCAATCAAGTAAAAACAAGTTATACTCTGTTAGAATTTGAGGTGTCAATGCAGCATGTGCTCCATGACACCCAAGCACCCAACACTTAATATTTCACTTTAAAAGGAAGGTTTGAATGAGATTTAAAGCTTGTAAAATTTGTATCACGTTAACCCTAATACCTGTTAAAGGATCAATCTAGTCAAAATCTAAACTTGATGGTTTAAGCCCAAGTAGTAGTAGTAATAGTAGTAATAATAATAATAATAATAATAATAATAATAATAATAATAATAATGGTTGTAACCCACAAATTAGGTATTTTTACCACTTGTAATTGACAAATTTTCCTTTACATTTAAGTCTACTTTAAACTTGAACATAATATAAGCAATTCACATTTACTTATCACGTTATATCCCTGCCAATTTATTCATTGCACATTTTTTATATGCATAAATTTAATCTCTAAATTCTTTTATAGCATTTACACGCTAAATACAGTTTTTGTTTTTTTAGTTGTATTTTGAACTACACGGACGGACTAGATTGATCCGTAAAATTTAAAGGGTCAAGATGAAAAACAGTTACAATGACTATAATTTTATTGTAGCCATGGAAAAGTCTTCCAAAAATATATCATTACTACTCTTTGCATTTTTATGATGTTACACTTTGACTTGCACTGTTGCACATATAGTTTTTTGGTAACTTAATTGACTCTTGAAATATTAAAAAGATAATGAAGATAAAAGTTTATTGAGAAGTAAGAGACCTGAGAAAAGAGAAGTAAATAAATATAGAAAATAGGCATATAAATGACCTTTTTTCCACCAATAAATCAAATATCAGCACAAAACACATTGTTAATACTCCTAGGTAATTTGTTTGGGTATATATCACCTCCATTACATATTAGTTGCAACTTTGGGGTATTATTTGTGAGACATAAAATATTTCAAAGTTACAACTAATATTTAACGGAGGTAGTAAAAAAAAATTAATTCATCTAACCTCGAAATGTTTACCAATCATTGCATGCAAGGTGTAAGATAGTATTGCCATCATTGTCCCTAAAGTTGATCAACTGATTTCCATCATCATCTACTAGCTCTAACAAACGCTGCAAAGACTTCAGTTGGTTATGTTTGACGCACAAATGTAATATAGATTCACCATCATTGGTCCGTCCTTGAGTTGCATAAGGATTTGCCCGATGAAGCAGCTCAAGTGCCTCAATTTGACCGGTCACGGCAGCAATAAAAATAGGAGTTCTTCCCTCTTGATCGTGCGCAAAGCACATATTAGGTTTCGCAACAATTAGGGCTTCAATTATCTTCAAGTGCCCTTTTAATGAGGCAATGTGTAATGGTGACGATCTTTTTGATTGGTCAATTGTCTCTTCTAGGTTTGGCTCTCGACGTAAAAGTTCAAGTACGAACTCAAGATGTCCCATTGCAACTATTGATTGGCCTTTCTCTATTTGTATATCCATGCTTCAATTCTACGGTTTATCAAAAAGAAACAATTCAAAAACATGACCTTATAAGGAATTAGTTCTTTTTAGCTTTTTACTAATACATGACTTAGTAAAAGCTATTTGAAAATATAGAACTTCCTCTTTTTCTTCCAACACATCCTCCATTTGAAAAATTTTACATTAATGTTTACATAGCATATTGTACAAAAATTGAAATAGTGAAAAAAAAAGAAAAAAAAAAAAGAGAGGGGGCAATATTAACAGTTTAAAAGGAAAAAGAATATGTAAAATTTCGAAACAATATGAAAATGGGTCTGGGCAACCCGAACAAGGAGGAGGAGAGTTTGGTCCACAAATAAGGTTTTTGGAGCTTCCATACACTAAAACCAATTGGCAATAGTAGGAGTTACTCCTCTACCAACAAACCTGGGCTCTGATACCATGTTAAATTTTAAAACAATGAAATGGGCCTAGGCAACCCGAACAAGTAGGAGGAGAGTTTGGTCCACAAACAAGGCTTTGGAGCTTCCATACTAAAACCAATTGGCAATAGTAGGAGGTACTCCTCTACCTTATAAAGTGAAACCATCTCTCTTCTTTCTCCAATGTGCGACACTCATAAGTGGGTTACAATGGGTTTCAACAGAATATAATTAAAGCAAATTTAATGAGTGACTTTGGTTATATTTCCTTTTTTTTTGGAACGAAATTATACTCTGATTAATAATATTAGACGATGAAGTTGACATAATATAAAATCAAACAAAAAAAAAATATATCAAACAAAGTAAGTAAAAGAAATTAATGGTAAATTTATTTAGGGAAAATTTTTTGGAATTATATTGTTATACAAATTCATCAAGATAAAAGTAAAATGACTTAACTTCCTTGAAAATAAAAATAAATAATAACTCACCAGTGACGAAGAGCAAAACAATTCAATACGTGTGTTTGCAATGAAAATAGCGTGCATGCGTTTGTGTGTTTTCTTTTTAACGAATAGAACTTGCAATGTACATTGCCAATTATCAATCGAACATATGTTGTGTTTATGCCTTGCTTATACCACGATAAAAAGCATAAGTGACTAGCAATTCAGCATATATTCATGATTTGACAAAAGTGACGGACTTTAGCTATTATGATTGAAAGAAAGAAAATTCTCCAACTTTGGTTGTCGTTGCAAGTTATATTATGGCCCTCGTAGTTGTTCGTGTTCGAATATTAAGAGTTGTACGTACTTGTCGTTTATATTCGTATCACTTGTTAATATTTCATACTACCTCCCCCATCCATTTTATAATTGTGTCACCCAAAAAAATAAAAATAAAGAGTGAAGCTCACGACAGTCATTGAAACTTGAACCACTTGTAAATTTTCTCCAGCATCTGACCATTGAGCTACCTACGGAGATTCTCAATAATAATGCTAGCTTATTTGTTATATTCTGAAATTGATATTAGGCCCTATTAACTTTTGGGCCCTGTGCAATTGCTCACCTGGCACACCCTAAGGGTCGGGCCTACCTGAAAGTTCGATTCACTTATTATTCAAGTGGTCAAAATAAAATAACTTCGACCACATTTTATGATTTATAGAGTCAAAATAAATTAACAAGTTTGATCTAATTAGACTTCCCTTAAGATAAAATTTTCAATTATCAACTTTCTAAAAATTTTATTTATACATATCGAAAGTCATTAATGGTCAAAGTTGTTCGTTGGAGACTGTGCAAATACAAAGTAAGTCGAACTTTCAGGAAAAGAGGGACAAGTTTATAAATAATTATCATTACATTTTTATGCAATGATTGGTTATATTATATAGAGTGTATTTTTACTTCTATGTGGATATATTGTTTATAGTGGAGAGGAAGAAATGTATTACGATAAAGTAGAAAACATATTTTTGGGCCTCTAAACTTTTGGTTGAGTTGGTCCTTTACCATAATATCAAGAGTTAACGTGACACAAAGTAGGGCAGATACTGCATCCACACTTAAAGGCTTTAAGCCCAATTTTTTATTACACCTACTAATTTGTTTTAAATCTCTTCTAAGCTTATTGTATATATGTAAACTTTAAAGGTATATAAGTATAATAATAGTGAGGTCTTTAACAAAAAATATTGTTTAAATTAACTTGATCAGATGGTCAAAAAAGGACGATGTTAGGACTATTATATGATAAAAGTGGGTATATTAATTTTTTTTTTTTAAGGGAAATTAATTTCTTTTTATTCATTTTCAGTAAATTAATACAAATGTATGCAATTCTCAAACTAATGCAGAAACTGAATATAATTGCCAGCTTTATTATATAGCACCTAATTATAAAGAATTCTCATATTGCATATAATTATGTAGTAAAGCAAGAATTGATAAAAACAATTTTATATTTCATAGTGCATTTAAATATATATATATATATATATATATATCTTGTTAACGAGCGCCCCGGGGCGTTAGATAAGGATAAATTATATTGGTTGAAATGGTATTAAGTTAGAAATTTATGACAAAATCACGCGTCGTTTGGTGTAATTAATGTTAATTTTACTCTAATATTTACACTTTAATTCACTTATCTAATGCCCCGGGGGCGCTTATTAGCTTTTTCCATATATATATATATATATATATATATATATATATATATATATATATATATATATATATATATATATTTTAAGTAGGACTTTTTTTTTCTCTTTTATAAATTAATAATTCTTTTTCATACGGTCAGTCGCTACTGAATATTGATGCTCTCAAATTGTGATATATACTATGTTTATTATCTTTTGTTAAATTCTACAAAGTATATTCTGCATTTGTCTGTTGAAGTATAGGCCTTCCAAATAATATGTGTAAGTGTCTAGGAAAAAGAAGATATTAATATAATAGTTGAACACTTTATAAATTATAAGATTAGAAGGTTGCTCTTCTTATTCTTATTGTCATATGATTATGGGCTGATGCAACTAAAAGGAGCTAGATTAGATCATCAAACTATGTCAACTATGTACGACATAAAGTTTCATTGTTTAGGAAATCTTCCATATTATGGGGATACCTAAATTGGTAGTGCAGCAGTGGCAGCACCCCATAGCTTAGTCACGTGCTTGGTCCAAAAGTAGAACCATTATTCTGGCTAACACATATTTTTTGCCCCATTGCAAATATATGGGTCAAACTTATGAAACTTTAATTATGAATTCTCGTTAATCTATAAGTGATAATATATTCATTATCATGTTGGATCTTGTTATAATCATCTCATTGATGTATCTTTTATTAATATCTAAATGTTATAATTTTTATCCGTATAGAATTGGAGATATAAACGTTGGAACACACGTCTTGGAGACTGTGTAAAGTCAAATGGGGCAAAAAAAACAAAAAAACAGAAAGAGTAGCGAGTAATAGAGGATTAAGGAGAAAAAATGATTGAAAATGGGTAATTAAAAGTCCCTTATTCAACGCAATAATCCAACAAAAGGTGGTTTCTTACAACAGTTAGTGTTTTATAAGGTGGTTTCTTACAACATCCAAGTTTTACAAGGTAGTTTTTTACAACATTTTTTCATAAGGTATTTTTTTTTTTTAAAAAAAAAAAAAAAATCCCTAAATTAAATGCAACAGCCAATAATGAGCCGAACAACCCATTTGCATTAGTTTGCCTGATCGAGTAAGAAAAGCACAAATTAATATTACAAGCACGTAGTAACATACATATAACCGTTACATAAAACATAAACTATAACAAGCTAGTATATAAGAAGTGTGACACATTAGTGAGCAATAATGCCCATTAAACATGGTTGCTAGAACTTGAGTTATGAGCAGTGCTTGGAAAACACATCTTGCAAAAACTTTTAAGTGACTGCCTCCTTTCCCAAGCAATCAACTTAAGTATGAATCGCACAAAATGAGCAAAGAGCATGATTCCTATCAACCCTACACAAGCAGCGAGAGAAAACCAAGTCGAAATATACATGCCATCATTATCTGCTTTAACATAAGTAAGAATGGTAATAGCTAAGTAGTAAGTATATGTCGTCGCAGCCACAGCAATCCACAAAGCTATTCTCAAAATCAACAAGAAATGTCGCCTACACGGAAATCCGCTTATAAGGAGAAGAATGACACCTAGTGACGATATTAGTCCTATTGTGTTACTAATTAGTAACTGAGTATACCATGATGAAAAATTAATTATCGAATAAGCTTCATTTGTATATGACAATATAGAGGTACCAGCATAGTGGGTAGAGTCGTTAGAGCCATCTTCTTGTACGACTATATTGCCATTTTTATTTTTTACTACATTTGTGTCCTGCCAAACGCCTCCTGGAGGATTAATTCCGACTTGGAAAGCCATGGTTGCTATCAAGGATGCCACCACCATTAACGAGGTTCGTTGCTCCTCCAACCAAGTACCATCCGCTTGGTGCTTCAGTACTTCCTTTGCTGGTCTTGCCTTGGCACGCTTCAGATATTGCTCAACATTCCTATTTTCAGAATTCTTCCAATTTTGCTTTTTGCCGATAATATCTAAGGCTGTCATTTTATTTTTGTTCATAGCACTTTTGTTTAGCCCTGGGTATCCAGAAAAAAATTCTACCATCTGCATTCAACATTCATATCAATCATATAACTAATATATAAAGCTAAACTTTTAGTCATGCGATGAGACAACGACACTTGGCGTTCTTACTTTTCGTCAAGTGTCGCGCCACGTTAGATAAATTTAAATAAACTTTATAAGATAAACTAGTTTTGTGCCCCGTGCGATGCCCGGGTTGTTTATTGAAAATAAATTTTAATCTATATGTCTAATTTTAAAATATATCATTGATACAAAATTAGTTAGGAATTGCTGTGCTTTTGTGACGATTTGCTATTTTTTATCGAAAATTTTTAAACAAAATTATAATTCAATTTGTACCTCTGAAATATTAGAATTTTATTGAAAATAAAACTCTAAACTAACATATTTATGTCCATTGTCAGTCCAAGTAAACCGATCCAATCCGCTCCAGCCAAGAGTCTAGATCGGAGTTTACCATACTGTGTATAAAATGCCCCGGATCGGAACCCGAACTGACAGATTCAGATTTATTGCTGGTCCGAGTAAACCGATCCAGGTCCGGTCCAATTCATGTCTATACTTAAAATTGATGGTTGTGATTAAATAATTTTTAATTATTCTAAATCATCAAATTAATTAAAATTATTTTAAATATATATATATATATATATATATTATTTTAAATTAATTTTTTCTAATTTACATTGACATTTAATTCAAAAATCATTAAAGCTTAACCTTTCATATTTTAAGATTATGGTTATCAATTTTCAAACGGCAACCATTAAACCATTAAAGAAATTTATTTTTTTTCCAAGAATTTCGAGAAGATAAGATTGATCATTTTGTGTAATTTGTTTAGATGTAGAAATTAAAATTCATCTAACCTCGGAATGTTTGCCAATCACTGCAAGGTGTAGGACAGTATTGCCATCATTGTCCCTAGAGTTAATCAACTGATTTCCATCATAATCTACCATCTCTAACAAACGCTCCAAAGCCTTGAGCTGGTTATATATGACACACAAATGTAATATAGTTTCACCATCGTTGGTCCGCCCTTGCGCTGCGTAAGGGTTTGCCCGATGAAGCAGTCCAAGTGCATCAATTTGACCGTACACAGCAGCAACAAAAATAGGAGTTCTTCCCTCTTGATCGCGTGCAAAGCACATATTAGGTTTTGCATCGATTAAGGTTTCAATAATTTGCAAGTGCCCTTTTGCTGAGGCAATGTGTAGTGGTGAAGATCCCTTTAAGTTATCAATCATCTCATCTAGCTTTGGTTTTCGGCGTAAAAGTTCAACTACGAACTCAAGATGTCCCATTGCAACGGCAACATGTAATGGAGACTGCTTGATGTTGCTTGATTTTTCAATGATACATCTTTCGAGGATAACTGGATCTTCTTTAAGCAAGTCGAGTAAAAATGGTACGTCTCCTAGAAGAGCTGCATCATATAGCCGAGTTGTAACTACAGATTGACCTTTCTCTATTTGCATATCCATGCTTCAATTCTGCGGTTTATCAAAAAGAAACAACTCAAATCAAAACTAATTCTCAATATAGTTCTCTTTTAGCTTTTAATTACATATTCAACGAAGTATATGTCATATTAAAAGTTGTTTGAAACATATTACTTCCTTCATTTCTTTCTAACACATTCTCAATAAATACAATTGTATAACAAAAGTTAGCTTGATTCTTCTTTGTAGTTTTACAACATCTACTTTTGTAATTCTTATTTAAAATAAGTTATTTTAAATGATTTGCAAAAAGTGATCATTATGGCAATCATAAAAAATAAATGGAGAGAAAGAAAATTTAAAGCAAAACTTTTGTGTAGAACGGACTCACCGTGAATCCAAATTTCTAAATGCTAATCCAAATGCTACTGCATCTTCATCCTCGACCTTTTGGTTGATTCGCGCTTCTTGCCCATTATATTTACCCTCGGAACTTCGATTCTCTCTCTCATGTTTCGTTTTGGGAGAAATTCATCACAAATTCCATCGATTTGGTCTGAAAAGAGGGGAAAATTATTAGGGTTTTAGAATGGAGAAGATGGCACGAGAAGGAGATAAATATATGAAGTACAAGAGTAATCCAGTAGAAGAAGCAAAGATGTCACTGAAGATGCAAAGGAGAGAAGCGAGTAATTATAGGAGGGTGAGAGGGGGAGGAGAGATCAGGCATTACAAAGGTAGGGGATCGTTGATTCCCAGGGTAAATCTGATAGGCAAGGTGCTTGATTATTAATATTATTGGAAAAAAATATTAAGTGTTGGGGTTTAGTGAGTCCGACTCACCGCGGAAACAAACCCCGACCCGAGGAACCACTCGCAATAATTAAAATTATAAAGCATAAATAAATAATCACAAAGAAAAGATAACGAATCTTACCCTCGAAGCGAGCTTCGCCCAAAAACCGGGGCTCTTACTTGAAAGCTATGAGCACGTCAAGCGCCGCGCCTCGACGGTATCCACCCACAAAAAGGACGAACACAACTTTAAGCTCTGCTACCTTGGGGTTAGCAAGGTTCGACCAAAACCCGAGTGTTATATGAGTTTAAGAGTTTTCCCAAAATTATGGAATGCTCTTTTTAACTCCCACTCAAGCAAAGAATTCTCAAGCCATTCCATGACTATTTATAAGGAAGTATGCCTTGTGAATTTCACTCATCTTTCAATGTGGGACTTTTCACAAAAAGATCTCACATGGAAAGATTGGTGAATTCAACCCTTAGTTAAATAAACAAAGGAACAAGTAACAAGTGTCACATGGTTAGGTGTGGACCACTTTCTCACTTGGTCCCCAAGGCATTTCACATGCAATGTGAACTAACCATGTGTCACCCAACCTTGAGCCCCAAGTTGGGTTCGGTTGGCCCATTTTATTTTGGCCCGTGTCCATGACCCATCAACCCGGGTCCACGGCCATTGCCACATGTGTCGCCACCGTGGCGCGCTGCCAACGTGGCGGCCACGTGTGCTGCCACGTGGCATGCTCCTATTGGGCATGCATTCCTAGCCTTTTGCGTGGCTAGGATTTTACTTGTTACTTGATGCATTTTCCTGTCTCGCCAAATCCTAAATTTTGGCTCGACATTTGAGATTCTCATACGCTCGGTTTCGACGCTACAAACTCGAATTTCCGACGTCTAAATGTTTAACACTTGGGCGACGAATTAATTTCTTCCGAATTAATTCGTCGAGTTGGTTCGTATATTTTGCTTGGGTGTGACCCGAAGGGTTCAGTCAAGATTAAGCTGTAATATTAATTATATAAATATTACTGATCGGAAGCGGCCTCCACCCAGGCATTCCGATCACTTGACCTTACTGAATATATTAGGTTTCTAATAATTCTGAACCCGCTATCAGAATAATACACTTGTTCGAAGGACACCATTCCTTTCATTAAGGTCATATATTACATTATTAATGTCATATATTAGAATATTATTGACATACATAAGAATATTATTGTTAGATATTAGAAAATTATTGTCATATATTAAGAATATTATTGTCAGATATATTGGATTCATGGTAAGTCCGGTCTCATCAAAAGCTTCTCTAATATAAAAGGAAAACAAGTAAAATTAAAGTAAATTTAATTAATAAATGGCTCATATTCTAATTTCACCATCATCTTATTTATGTTTAACTTAAATGAACTTTTGCTCTAGTTCAAAAAAAAAATTAAAAAAAAAAGAAGAAAACTTTTACTCATTCTAACTTATTTTTGTTGAAATTAACCTATTATAGTGTAACTCATTTTGTTGATTTGATTATATATATTTTTACTGAACTTTGTTTTTGTTTGTTGACTTATTGTTGTCAAACTAAACTAATTTTAGCAAATTAATTCATATTAATAAATTGAAGAGAGAAAAGCCTTACTTAGCCAACAAAAAGACTACCAATATACGAAAATGATATGTGGTCACATAAAAAAAAAAAAAAATGAAGATATGTGGTCACATAGAAAGTATAGTACTACACTAAACGGAGAATTTTGCATCGTGTAAGCTAACTTCATTTTTAGAAGTCATTGAGTGATCGAGTGTGGAGCTCATCATTTTAATAACATTTTTGATTGGGTAGTGTTAAATACCGTGATTCAAATTTATCAAAATTGTCATCATATCAAGCAAAGGGTCATCATTACTATTACTAAATTCTAACCAATTTTTCCTCTTTTTTTTCTCTCTCATCAAACACCCCAACCCCAACTTTTTCCCCACAACCACCTCAACAAATAAATAGTAGTCACAGGCAGCAACTGGCCGCAGCAGAAGGCGGCGGCGGAACCACGCGACCGGTCCATCAAATGTGATGAGGCGGCGATTTAGGTGGCGAAATGGCTGAAAGGAGGTAAGTTTTCCAACGCGTTTTTTTCGTTTCTTTTTTACAAAACTAGTGGTTGGTAACCGGAGGTGAAAACCGGTTGCCCGTCACCGGTAACCGGCGACCAAATCTGATTGGCCTCAACTGTCAATCCCTTTTGACCGTCGGTTACTGGTGACGGTCAACCGGTTTTCACCTCCAGTTACTAGCCACCGGTTTTTTTTACTTTTATTTTATGAAATAAAAAAAAATTGAGAAAACAATTTATAAAAATTATTATGATTTTATTTGAATTAGATAATAATTATAATTTATTATTATTGTTATTAATTGATATTGTTGAAACCCATTATATCCCACTTATGAGTGTCCCATATTGGAGAAAGAGGAGAGGTAGTTCCACTTTATAAGGTAGAGGAGTTACTCCTACTATTGTCAATTGGTTTTAGTATGGAAGCTCCAAAGCCTTGTTTGTGGACCAAACTCTCCTCCTCCTTGTTCGGGTTGCCCAGGCCCATTTAATTTCATATTATTTCGAAATTTAACAGATATTGTTAATAGTTTTTTTTTTTTTTTGGAAAGAAAAGATAGGGCATTGTATTAATTATGGGAAAATGTCCGTTTACGCCAAAATTACAATCTTTGAGGAAAGAAACTAAAACGAATAACTTCATCATCCTCTCCCCTACCATTATATTCTTAGTAATCTCAAGTAGTTGGGGGTTTTTTTTTGGAGAAATCAATTAAAAGATTTATTATTATCATCATTATTGTGGTGGTCGACATGGTGGCGTAGGTCGTACTGATGTTGTGATTGTTGGTGGTTGACTTGGTTGTGGTGGATGGACTAATGTTAATTAGAAAAGAAAATGGGAAAAAAATTTAGTAAGAGCAAGGATGTCTCTTTGCTTGAAATGACGGCGGTTTGATCATTTTTTAAGGCGGTATTTAGCATTTCACTTTTGATTTTTCATATCATATCACTTTATTTCACGTACAATTTCATAGAAAATTTAATTAGCTTTTTAAATTAAATAACCTATATTCAAACATTGTAATGCACCAATATATTCCACCCAAATAATAAGTTCATAAAATAAAATGGAGTATTAGATAATTAAGGGCTTGTTTGGTATCATTTTTGGTTTTTAGTTTCCTTTTTTTTGAAAACTAAAAACCAAAAACAGAAAACAAGAAAAAGGTGTTTCCACTTTTTTGTTGTTAGTTTTCAAAATTATTATGATTTTAATAAGTTTAAATAATTTTTTATTCATTATGTGACATATATCATATATTTTTATACAACAAAAACCCAAAAAACAGAAAACCACAGCAATGTCAAACGAACCCTAAGTTTAAGTAATATAAAATCAAATCTAATAAATAATGATTAAATAAAATAGAGGTTAATTTACTTAATAGGGCAAAAAATTTCTAAGCAGATTGTATTACAAAACCAACACAATATAATCCGTACTTTGTAGTAAATAACTCACCGATGACGAGCAGCAAAACAACCCCAATATGTGTACTGTGTGTTTTCTTTGAAAAATGTATGTGTTTGTTTAAACGAGAAATAATGAAGTCTCAACCAATGGAGACGCGATATATAATTGCCAGTCATCAATTGAACAAATACTGCTTTTGATGCATGCTTAGCTTATAGTCTTATACCACGATGATTAGCACAAGTGGCTAACAACTCAGCATATTTTCATGACTAAACAAAAGTTTGACATGATCGATTTGACAAAAGTTGACAAAAATTTATAATAACTAGCCTAAGAAAATATCTAAGAAAATTCTCCAACTTTGGTTGTCGCTGGAAGCTATGCCCCTCTTCAATTAGTCACTCTGTTCCAACAACTTTAATCATAACTAGCCTAAGAAAATATCTAAGAAAATTCTCCAACTTTGGTTGTCGCTAGAACTATGCCCCTCTTAAATTAGTCGCTCTCATTCCAACAACTTTAATCACGTGTCGATGGGTGTATTTAATGTTTTAATTCACCTATTATTTAAGCTTCTTGTATACAACCCTATTACAAAATAATAGTTGAATCTACTTCAAATAAAAAGTGTTTATGTTAGTCTCAGATGGTTAGAAAGACAAAACATTACTGATCAGAGTAGAATTATTTTGCAATTATGATGTATAAAATGAAGTAAATCTTTTTTCGGTAAAATAATACATGTATGTAAATTTAAAATAATAAGTAGTACAAATTTAAGAAATACATTACTATTGTAGTACTAATTATTATTATTACCTACATAACTATGTATTATTCAATAGATCAACTTACAATCGTGTAAAAAAACCCAAAACTTCTCTTCTCTCTCCTCAACATAGTTTCCCACCGAAAACCTAGGGCCTCACCAGGGATTCAGAGCTCCAGTGAGAAACCCCCTTTCGTTAATTGAGTTTTTCTAACCGTCGCTTCTCTCGTGTGGGTGGTTCCAGTTCCAACAAGCTTTCTCCTCTTTCAAGTAAGGGTTTCGACCAGGGTTCCTCAGGGTATAAAACCATCTTCTCCGGCGGCCGCTCCTTGAGTTGGGGTGTGTTTTCTTTTGTGTTGCAAGGAGACTTCGAAGGTCTTGATTAGTTGCAAGTTCTTACCGCCAAGAAGGAAGATCGGGTTTACAAATCCAGTTGTTCAGGGACGTTGTAGTCGTTTTAGGGGTCTGGGGCTAGCTCTAACGCCACTGTCAAGGGATCGACGAAAAAAAGGTAATCGCGATGGGTGTTTGGTAAAGTTAGGGTAAGGATTTCGTAGATCTCTTGCGTTTTGCTTCGAAATCTCTATTTTGGTTGGTTTGTATGTTGACTTCTTGCCTTTGCTTATTGGTTTGGTTCTCTTTAGTTTTAATTGTGGTTTTAAGTTCGCTAGTTTGTATGGTTAGTGACTTTTTGACTTTTTGGGTTCTTTGCCGAGATGGTGTTGTTCTTCGATGCTATTGTTGTTGTTTTTGGATAAACATGTGTTTAGTCGTGCGGCTTTACATGATGTTTGGAGGGCTGAGGGGGTGTGTTAATCCTCTCTTTCGATGGCTTGGTTTTCGGGTTTGGGTAGTGTCGTCGGGAATGGTCCTTGTCAGTGGTCCATTTTGGTTCTTAAGGCTGGTCTTGGCTTGTGTTTTTTTTTTTATTTTATTACTTCTTTTGACTTGTTCGGTCATTGAAGTATTGGTAGGTTATCACTTGGTTAGTGTTCAAGGGTTTACTTCATCAATGTTAAAGGGTTACTCGATTAGTGTTATAGAGTTACTCAGTCAGTATTGCAGAGATTACTTGATCAGTGTTATATAGGTTACTTTGTTCTTTTACAAGTGGTCACATGGTGTGGCTAAGTCACACACAAGGCGGGCTGTTAGTTTATTTCAAGTTAAGTGTTACACATAGCATATGAGGCTATTATATGGTGTTACATGTGTTTCGGGGGTTTTTGTCCCTCGGGAGAGTTACAACACTGAAACTGGATTCAACTGAGGATCCCTGTACCTGCAAAGCAAACGGACCGCCGGATGGTCGGTGATCTGCCTCCGAAGATTAAGTCAGTAAACGTTCGGAGATAAAACGTGCGGAAGTAAAGTTATCTACTTGGATTCCAAGCTCAGGTAAAGTGTTGTGTGTTCCTTGAAAACGACAGCTCTGTGGTAAGTGACGTATTGTCTCGTATTGCGTGTCAAAATTCTCTCCCTGTCATAAATGACATAATGTCCCTATTTATAGGGTCCTTTTGAAAAGTGTGCCTTCCTAGGATCTGGTGACCTAGTAATTAGGTCACGCCGTTTTGCGGCGCCTTGAGATTTGGGCCTTAGAAGGCCGCCATCCCAGGGCCAATGCCTGAGTGACACGTGTCACTGTGCCCAAAGGATTTTGAAGCACTTTTTATGTGACACGTGTCGCCACCTGAATGGTCCCTGCTGGACCTTCAGTCAACGTAGGACGGAGAAGAGTCCACCCTCCACGTGTCATCATTCCAAAGGTCCAAATGGCACCTATACGGAGGACACGTGGAACTTTCTGATTGGGCCACCTGGCCGGGTATAAAATACCCAAATCATTTTCCCCTCACAGGGGTCACGTGCATTGCACGTGACTCCTGTGACAGGTGTCAGTATCTGAGTGGTCTGATTTGAAAATTTACTGGAAGGAAAAAATTAGGGTTTTACCCTCCTATAAATAGTAAGGTTTGACCCCCCCTCTTGGATTCACACCTTGGCGAATCTCTGGAGAATCTTGGACTTTTTGACTTAAAGAATCTCAAAGTTCCCTAAGCGTTTTTCAAGCATCCGACACTCGGCTACCAGTTCGACCGTTCTTTAGTCAACCAGGCGTCTTTCTCCCTTCTTCTAAAGGTAACGCCTGTATTTTCTTTTTACTCTTCATTTTTTCTTTGTTTTCGAAAAAATGGCTCCCCAATTGCATGCGGCACGGCGTAGGATAGTGATCAGCCGGTCACCGGGGACGGCTGAATCTAGAACTAGCAGTGTCGAATGCTTGGCCAAAGACCCTGCTTTGCGAACTTCTCCGAATCCGACCGTTTCCGTGTCTGTGCAGGACACTATGGCCAGAATCAAAAGAACAGCAAGGCAGTGTAGCTCCGATGGAGTTTTCTACCATTCGGATGGGTCGACTGTTTTTTCAGACGGCCTAATAAGAGTTCCTCGAAGTGAGCTGTCGGAACACCCTGACAACCCTTCCTATCTTCCTCCTACCCCCACTTATTACCATTTGACCACATCTAGTGGAACTCCCAGTGATGGAATCCTGGGGGAGGCGGATGAAGAATATCAACCTGGGCCTTCTGGACAAGCGCCGGAAGAGAGTCTACGGGAGGACCCCGCTGGCACCAGTCGGCGGTCCCCTAGCTCTGATGAGAGCTCTGATGACGAGTCGGCCTCGTCATCTTCTTCAGAGAATGCCTCCGTAACTTCAGAGGAGGCTAGATCAAACATAGATTCTGCCAGAGAGTCCCTGGCAGTGGATAGGGGGGAAAGCTGGGCCGAGCCGAGTGCTTCCAGGCGCTTGGAGAGAGCCCCCTACTATCAGCATGTTCCGCCAGGCAGGCGGAGCGCCATGGCATCCGGCCTTGCCAATTTTAGGCGCAAGGTCGTCCTAGGCTATGGCTACACTTTGTCGGTCCCTAACGAGGGCGACACCATAACCTGGCTGAGCCTGTCCAGCTATCAAGACAAAGCATTCGGCTGCTATGAAGCGGCCTTCCAGGCTGGCCTCCGCTTCCCTCTCCATCCGGCCGTGGAGAGGATCTTGGACGGATACCAACTGGGTATCTGGCAACTTGTACCCAACTCCTGGATCAATATTCTAGGGTACGTTGCCGCCTGTGAGATGCTGCAGGTGGAGGCGAGCTTTGAAGCGTTCGCCCACATGCACTATCTGAGCAGGGCGCCTGCTAGGGGCGGTGAAGGCTGGTACACCTTGACCACTTGCAAGGGGTACATGATGGCTGTTGGCAAAGAGAACAAGTGGAAAGACTGGAGGACTAAGTTTTACATAGTCAAGTCTGCCGACAGCCGCCTGAACCAAAAGTATAACAGGTGGACTAAGGATCCACCTCTCCTAGCAGGCAGGAGCGCATTGCCGCCTATTCCCAGGCGGGCAAAGGAGGAGATCATGGACGCGGGGTTGTTTACCGTGTCCGTGTGGACGAATGATGAGGGGGACAAGGAGGTCACCCCTCAATGCTATCTCCCTTTGTACAAGTGGTTTGAAGAAGGGACATTCTTAGCCTCCTGTGGGCTAAGTTCTGAGATGCCGAGAGGTAGTCGGTCGTCTGTTTTATATGCAATTTACTTTTGCTTTTCAGTACTTTTTAATGATGCTAATCACTTGTTCATTTTTGCAGACAAAGCAATGGAAAAGCTCTCGGCCACAAGGAAGCCGGATGTATCTGCTTCTCGATACAGGTCGAATGTCCTAAACAGGGCAGAAGTAACCACTCACACCAAAGTGGACGAGCAGAAAACTGGCGGCACCTCCAAGGTAGAAAATTGTTATACTTTCATTTCTGACCAATATTAAATTTGCCCGAATGATTTCTAACTTGCGTTTATCTTGTGTTGATGTAGGGTGCGCCTTCCAAATCTCCTTCAAAACCATCCGACCCTAAAATCCAAAAGACTAGGGCGGGTGATGTGAGCGCATCCGGCAAGGGCGGCCAGAAGCACATTGCTCATAGGCCCAAGAAGGGCCCATACGCCTTTTCTCTCGAAGCTGAAAAGGAGATCAGCAAACCGGATGCCCAGAGGGCATCGAAGGGTGGCTTTAAGCAACCCACCACTACTGTCGGCTCAGCAGGAGAGAAGAAGAGCCTGGGGAGAGATGAGGAACAGAAGGACGACGGTAAAATCCATTCGCCTCTATTGTTCTTCCATTTAGATGTACTTGAGTTATTTTTCTAACTTTCTCTCCTTCTCAGTTCCTGTGTAGAGGCCAAGTCCATGCTGAGGGCGGTTGATCCTGACGACAAGGCGTCTATCAGAGGAGTCGGCACCCTTGACTTGGATGGCATCTTGGGGAACCTCTGCGAGGTATGAGTCTTAGCTCAAGCAATTTTTTTTTTTTTACTAAGTATTATTTCTTTTTCCGCCTGGTTTTAACCATTCGGCTCTTTTGCAGGCCATGCTGCGCGTCCAAGGGCTCAGGTAACCCCTCAAGGAGAAATCCAAAGAGGTAACAGTCGCTAAAGCTCGGGCCGAGTCTGCCTTGGATCGAGCTCAATTTGATATTGCTCATAATGAGTATCTGACGCTTGATATGATGTATTCGCAGGCGGAAGCCAATATGCAGGTGAAGAAGGACCTGGACTTGGCCCGCCTGCGCATCACTTCCCTTAAGAAAGAGATTACAACTCTTAAGGAGAAGCTCGAACCTCTTCAAGATGCCAAAGAAGAGGTCGAGAGAGCCAAGCAGAAGGTGGGCCGCCTGGAGCAGCGCCTCAGTAACCAGGAGCATCAGCTGAAGTCCAAGTTTGAGTCCGTGGCTGATCAAGAGAGAGAGGCTCTTGTTAAGCAAATGATGAGCGATTATGAAGCCATCATGCGGGACACTTGGGCGGCTGTACAGCCGGAATCGGACTATCAGATTTGGAAATCCAAATTTGACGAAGCCAGCAAAGCATACGACGCTCGCGTTATTGAAGAGGCTGAGAATGCTGAGGCCGAGGAAAGTTCTGGGTCCGACTCTTCTGGGGAGTCGTCCTCTGGTGACGAGGAGGAGGATCAGGCGGAGGAGCAAAAGAAAAAGGACGAAGAGCAGCCGAAGGACGACAGGCCGGCTGCCACTGAAGAGGCTCTCCCCTGATCACTTAAGCTTTTATGCTTTTCTGCGGCCGAATGGCCATGTACTTTTCTTTTCCGGCCTGCGTGCCGAGTATTTGTATCTTTACCGACCGAGGGGTCGGGTAATTTGACAATCTTTCTGGCTTTGCCAGATAACAATCTTAACCAATCGTCTGGTGACGATTGGTCTTTTTAATTTGAATCATTCGACCATTTGGCTGAAGTTATCCATATTGTTGTCCTTTGCATTTTGAATTTTTCATTTCATGTTTTTGGCCAAGTATTATAACCTGTATACCATGCGAATGTTCTTGCCCCTGGACGGATGTCGAGTGGTTTCGGTTTATTGAATTGATTCGCTTAGAAATTTTTGATACTTAGAAGAGTATGCATGGTTTCTAAGTCAATCAATCACTATGGTGATTGCCCCAAACCATGCGACAGACGTCCATCTAGAATTGGCAAACATAAAGTGTTCATTCGGCCATTGGCTCGAACTA